GGGCTAATCCCCTGGCCAGAGATTATGACCTATGTGTTCAATAAGAAACACTACATGAATGAATGATCAGATAAATTTAGATAAATGCACTACTTTTCTCCCTATGATAGTTGCATTTTAATCCCTAATTTTCCCCCACCTGTAGGCTAGAAATTCCATTTTATAACAGCTTAAGAATAAATTCATATCAATAACTTTTAACGAATGTTTTTCATATTTGAGGTACTATGCTAGGAGCTCAAGGGCCGTATAAGAATGAATAATACACAGCCTAAGTCCTCAAGAAATTTAAAATCTATTACACTTATGGTTGCAAATGCCCTTTAAAAAGTAAACACACGCACACATATCCGAGGGGTTGGAAAATATTAAAATGTTTGTTTTAAAATTTGATTTAATCTTGGTTTTGAAAGCTGGTAAAAGTGAAGAGGATGCACCCTTAGCTTTTTGGCACCTATTGCTTGTCTGGGACTGTGTTTTCTCATTTAACACCCAGCAACTTATCAAGGAAGTGTTATTTCTGTCTCTCTCTCTTTTTTACTTTTTTTTTTTTTGAGACAGAGTCTTGCTGTGTCTCCCAGGCTGGAGTGCAATGGCCTGATCTTGGCTTTCCGAAATCTTCCCCTCCCGGGTTCAAGTGATTCTTGTGTCTCAGCCTCCCAAGTAGCTGGGATTACAGGTATGTACCACCATGGCTGGCTAATTTTTTGTATTTTTAGTAGAGAAAGAGTTTGACTATACTGGTCAGGCTCAAACTCCTGGACTCAAGCAATTCACCCGCCTCGGCCTCCCAAAGTGCTGGGATTACAGGCGTGAGCCACCGTGCATGGCCAAGGAGTGTTATTTCTCATCGTGAAATGAAAACATCTGTCTCTTGTTCAAGGTATCTTGGAAACCTTGTGTGGCTGTAGATGGCTTTTTTTCTTGTACTTGAAACAATATCCCATGCTTAATTTCCTTGACCTGTCCACATAACAATAACATGTAACTTCAAATGGAAAACATTCACATAAAGAATCGTTCACTAGCTCATCCCACGTAAACACATATAAGCAAACACAAGTATTCGTTAGGAACCTTTTATGTGGCCAGTACAATCCTAGGTACTATAATTTAGGGAATAAATGGAACTCTACAAATTACAGTGTACTTAAATTTATGGGACCATGACATTGCCACTTTCAAAGCCGAAAGAAAATGCAATCACAAGTAGGGATGGTAGTGGTAGGAAAGGGGCCACAGTGGTTTTCTGTGATGTTTGGACAGAACAGAGTGGTTATTGTCCAAAAGTTTTCTGCCTTGATGACCCTTTCTTGGTCCTTTGGCTAGAAAAAGCAAGCTTTTTTATGTTTCCTTTCTGTGACCATTGGTATTTCTGGGTTGCCAGCTTCCCCAGCACCCAATCTAGGATACGGGAGGCAAAAAGAAAATCGGAGAACTCACTGCTATGTGGCTCTTGGGATTGCGAGGTCTATAATTGATCTGCCATATTCTCCCCACTTTTCAGAGTCTTCTTATGTTTAGATATATAATATTTCAGCTGTTCGCAGCAGGATGAATAGGAAGAAGTGTGTTATTTTATGTTGTCCCTGCCTCTCCCAATATTTGAGGCATCTAAGACGATAGCATAGAACAGTCAAGATGCTGCCACTTACCTCTTATAAAATGAGATAAATTAGGAAAGAAGAAAAGCACAGTTCTTGAGGGAAGAAAGCTGGTTGGTTTTCTGCAGGTTATAGCCTTAGGTTCAGATTATTTGTCTTTATCTCCACCTTGTCTAGGTTGGAGAATTAACTGGAGACAATAAACATTATTCTTGCTAATACTTTATGTTCATGTATGATTATACGCATTATGATTAAAGAAATGAAAGTATAACCATTTGTTAGCTAGGAAATTACTGAATCCTTATCAAGACCTTGATGAGAATGTTGAAAAAGTAGTGATGAGGAAAATTGTGTTTGAAGACATCCTACATAGTTTTTACGGGTTAATTATAATTAGTAATACGTGCACAATATATACGTCTCTCGAATATTAAAATATTTTGAAGTAGGCAGTCACATACTCATTAACAGTGTTCCATTGCATTGTGTCATACAGGTCACTTTAACTGAAATCTTGTTGGAGTGGGAGGAGGAATTCATCATGGTGGAATAGAATCTGATGTTCAAATAAAGCAAGTTGATTTTGGAGCTGTATTAGAAAATGGAAAATGTTACAAAAGTTCAGAGTATAAAATAAATCAGAACTGCCAACACTGTAACCATTTCAAAGTTACAGGGTGAGGCAGAGATTATTTGGATTTTCATTTCCTGTAAGATGTAAAGGATGAAACAGAGTCAGAGAAACACAATACTGCTGGGTTTAGTGCACTGGTTGCAAAGTGTTCAGAAGTTAATTATGAATATTTGCTGCCTTAAGTCATACGCTCAAATACTAACTTGCATTTTAATCACTAATAAATAATTATTTAGAGTCTATACAATTATTGAAATACTTTGTAATTGACTGTAAAGTTTAATATGTAAAAAATAATGGGCTGTCTCTAAAATATTTTTCTTTACTGTTTTTCTTTTATGAGACCGAGTCTCACTTTGTCACCCAGACTACAGTGCAGTGGTATGATCTTGGCTCATTGCACCTCTGCCTCCCAGGTTCACGCCATTCTCCTACCTCAGCCTCCCGAGTAGCTGGGATTACAGGTGTGCACCACCACCCCAGCTAATTTTTGTATTTTTAGTAGAGGCGGTTTCACTATATTGGCAGGTGATCTGGCCACCTCGGCCTCCCAAAGTGCTGGGATTACAGGGGTGAGCCACCACTCCCGACCTTTCTTTACATTTTTATCCAACAAAAGGACTTCATAAATATGGCTTTTGCTCACAATAAGCAAAGCGAAATTATTTCTTTACTTTCAATAGAGTATCACTAACACCTCCAGGCAAAAGTAATAAGAACATATGGGGAGGAAAATTAATCTGATTATTAAGATTTGCTTAAATGTTGCAAAAACTGGTATTACCAGTAATAAATATATATTATATATTATGGTCTCTAAACAAAGTAGGAGAAAAATGAAAATCTGATGCTCCAAATTGTGTTGGCCAGTTAAGGAGGAGCTTTATGCTTTGGCAGAGGTGTAATTTCAAAGGAATAAGTACTTAAAAAAGAACTAAGTTTCAGCATTTCTTTTTTATTCTTTATTTACTAACAAAAAATAGTCACTGTAAAATTGCCTCATTGAGGCTGTAGGGTCTTGAAATTTCAATTTTAGTGTCAAAAGTACCTTGTGGGCTGGATGCAGCAACTCATGCCCAGCACTTTGGGAGGCTGAGGTGTGAGGATTGCTTGAGGCCAGGAGTTCGAGGCTGCAGTGAGCTATGACCATACCACTGCGCTCCAGCCTGGGTGACAGACCTAGACCCTGTCTCTCTCTCTAAATAAAGTGGTTTGTGTATGCAACGTACTTCCTCTCTGAGTTTAAAAAATTGACAAAAGAAATATAACCATTATGACTATAATATTCTGCATGTTTCATGATAATCTGATAAGCTATCAAACATAAGTGTTAAAAGATTCTTTTACATACTTTTCAAATGCTCTTGTGACTGGTGAGGGCATTCAAGACACTTGAGATTACAATGAGGGGACAGTCCAATCAGAGAATGGGCACTGGTTTAGTTATTTCACACTGTGTAACAAATTACCCAAAATGTAACTGCAAATAAAATTACAAATATTCATGATCTCATACAGTTTCTGAGGATTAGGAATCTAGGAGATGCTTAGAGGGTAGATTTCGTTCAAGATAACTCAAAGATATGTAGTCAAGCTTATCAGGGCTTCAATCATCTGATAGTTCAACTGGAGAAGGATTTATTTCCAAGCTTACTTATGTGACTGTTTGCAGGTTTCTCATACTTGCTGACTGTGAGTTGGAGTCTCAGTTCCTTGCCACACAGACCCTTCCATAAGCTATCTGAGTATCCTCATGACATGACAGCTGACTTCGTCCAAAATGAGAGAGTGAGCCCAAGAAAGAATCCACAGCTATGAATAACCTTATCTCAAAAGTGATATGCTACTACTACTTCTTTATTTTGCTGGTAAACCAGACAAACCATGGTACAAGGTAGGAGGGGACAACATCAAGTGGTCAATACCAGGAGGCAGGGATCACTGGGGGCCATCTTGAAAACTGACTACCACAGGTCCATGTGGCAGATTTGCAACTTGGATTCACCTAGAACTTGTCTTAAAGCATACCTCCTCTAGTAGTCATTGCCTGTTACTGGGATGAAATGACTAGTGACCATTCAGACAGACCGCAAGGGGCAAATGGAAATTTGCTGACATTTCTCAGCTAACATTACATAGCCTTTCCATAACTTGAGTATACTGAGTGTACTAAGAAATAACAATTCAACTTTTAGTTACACTTTTTATGGGTACCAAGATCCAAGAATAATTTAAAAAATATACATGATCTACAGTATAGTTCTGAGAAGGGTAGAATGATTAATAAAGTAAAACAGTATGCTGTCACAGAAAGTTAGGTGATTACCAATCCTAAGCATATAGAAATAAAGCTTTAAAACCTTGCTATGAAAAAGATGGAAAACAAGAGACCGTTTTAGCTTTCTTATTTCCCAGCTTGAATAATTTAATTGGATTTTATAATATCAGTAGGAATCAATGACTGCTTTTAGGTTTCCTACTTTGGGTGAAAGATAAGTCACTTTGAACACTCCTGGTAGTAAATTGCCAGGTAGAGAGATATAACCATTAAAAATTACCATATATACTTCTTGGCTTTTTGTAAAAGATATTTCTAATGGTTTTCAATGTAGGAAACTTTTCTAAAGATTGTCATATAAATCAGCTACTTGAAACTCGCAAACCATAAGGTACCTGACCCTGGCAAATCACATACAGAGTGGTAGGGGATAAACAGCTCTACTGCACTTACTTGCACAAATAAATACATAAACAGCCAATTTTAAATCTAATAGGGTTTTTAATCATCAAATAACTTATCCATCTGGTTAGGTCAAGACCTATTTGCAGGCTAGAAGGGTTCTTTAGAAGAGTTGTGGCCAAGTGCGGTGAGTCATGCCTATAATTCCAGCACTTTGGGAGGCTGGGGCTGGTGGATCACTTGAGACCAAGAGTCTGAGACCAGCCTGGGCAACATGGTGAAACCCTGTCTCTACAAAATACACACACACACACACACACACACACACAAAATAGCTGGGCATGGTGGCACACACACCTGTAGCCCCAGCTCCTTGGGAGGCTGAAGTGGGTGGGTTGCTTGAGCCCAGGAGGTAGAGGCTGCGGCAATCTCTGGGCATGCCTCTCTACTGCAGCCTGGGCAACAGGGTGAGACCCTGCCAAAAAAAAAAAAAAAAGAAAAAGAAAAAAAAAAGGCAGAGTTGTGGCAACAGATGGTGACTTCTTCCCTTTTTGAATCCTCCAGGTTATCTGTGCTTACATCTTCCCTCAGCTTAGCTAGGTAAGGTACTCCCCAAGATGCTCTGCCCTTCAGGAGAGAGAATCATTGTAGGTAGACAGCTGGTGATTTCTGCCTAAGGAGGAAAAGGAGACAGGAAGGTATTAGCCGATGACTTTATTTTAGCAGTGGTTTTCCACCTTGGCTGCATATTAGAATCAGATTCTGCCGAGTGGGATTCAGGCACTAAGCTTTCCCCCCCCCCCCAGCTCTCCGGGTGATTTTAATGTGCACCCCAAATTGAGACCCTTTGTCTTACGTCAGTGGGTCTCATTTCAGCGCCCATCGGAATCACCTGGAGAGCATGTTAAATTTACAGAATGCTAGGCTCCATTCTCCAGTCTGATTCAGGAGGGCTGGGGTGGGACCCATCATTTGCATATTTAACAAGTTCCCAGATGCTGCTGATGCCGCTGTACCATGCCGACAAGTCTTAGAAAAATTTGGCTCTTGTTATATTTTTATACAACAAAAAATGGAGTTCAGCTGTGAGTGGGGTGTAGGGGCAAGAATGAAAATTGGTAAATGCAGAGGACAGATACCACTAGTCTCCCCTCTTTGCTTTCCCCATCTTCTTCAAAGTTGAAGTTAGACTGAGATCTACCCCTGCGTTGCCCCTCCTCGATTTTCTTCATCTTTCGCAGATTGAGGAAACAACCTGTGAACGGCCCAAAACCGGCTAGACCCAACCTAACCATCCGTTTTAGCGGGTCTCTTTTCCCACACAGGCCGACCGCCTCTCCGCCCTGGCCCCGCCTCCAGTTAAGCCTGCTCCATCTATTAACGTTCTCTTCTGCCCAGCCACACCCCCGGCGTTCTCCGCGGTTGCGCACCTGGCGTACATCGTTCAAAACGTGCCCAGTGTTTCCCTCCGCGTGCACTGAGTGCCGCGCAGGCGCAAAGGGCCAGGTGCTGGAGGTGCTGTCATGGCCTGCTTCAACCCGGTGGTAAGGGGGACCTCAAGCTCTGTGTAGAGGGAGCGCCCTGGGACTCCTGGTTCACAGCAGCCGAACCCTGCACACCCTTTTGTTTCCCCCTGACACTTTACAGATTGTCATAAACCCTCTTCTTTAGCGGCTGGGGCTCTTCCTCACCTCTGTGTTGGAGGAAGCTGATGAGGGCCAGTAGTTCAGCAGGAAGTTGGGCCAGCTCCGCCGAAACAACAAGTGTCCTTTTTCTCTTTTCACCAAAACTGAGGCTATCTAGTTGGGGTGTTTAGAGGTGGAACTCCCCCTCAACCCTCCTGGTTTCCTAGATGTTACAAAACCCCCAAGTTCGGTTGTGTTAATTTTACCGTGGACATTGTTAATTCCAAGCTGTATTATTTACTGCTTGAAATAACAATGTGATTCTCATGTTACCTCCCCACATGTTTTTAGTATCTTTCCCTACCCGCCCATTTCTTTGTCCTTTAACAACTTAATGCTTAAGTGTACAACCTACATTACCCTCCTACCCCTAACGGACACTTAATTTGCACAGTGAGAATTTCTAGTCTCAGTGGCACTTAGGAGACCATCAATCTTAAAAACCTGAATCAAAGAACAAAAATGAAGGATTAATCTTTATTACCAATTCATCTCAACAGACTTCACATTTCGTGAAAGGCAATATGCTTGTCCAGATCTGTGTAATTTTATGGGTTCCGGTTATCATATGCAGTATAAAAGCTCTGTTTAATTTAGAGACATGCTACTTTAATTATATCTGTTTTATGATAGTGTGTTTTAAGATACCTAAAATACCTATACTCTGCCTGATTATAAGCTTACTAGGTTTGCCAATTTACCTGATTGTGAATTCTATGAAGTAGTGTCTGTTTTAAACAGAGGAGTTAAGATGGACTAGACATAGTTTTAATAAAGATAACAGGGAAAGCAATACAAAGTCTGTGGTCCTAGAAGACAAAATAAGTTCAATACGTGTTTTGATTTTTGAAAAATTGTGTTCTAATGGTACTTTTTGACTACTGCTGTGTTAAGATGTTTTTAGCCCTAAGAGTTTTTTCCGTCAGTGTTAAGCTTGATAACACTAGCTGGGACTACCACTGAAGTATCAATTTAGTATGCCTTTATCAGGATAAACTGTTTTAGAAGACGCAACGAATTTAGGGGCATTTAGTCTTAATGCATGTGCTTGTGAATAACATTATTTAAATGTTACTGATTGGCCTATTCATATAGGCTTACCCTGGGTCTTTAGAAGGATTAGTTTAAAGCATAGCTTTAAATACTAAATACTCTTGGGGGCTGGGCATGGTGGCTTAGACCTGTAATCCCAGCACTTTGGAAGGTCGAGGTGGGCAGATCACTTGAGCCTAGGAGTTTGAGACCAGCCTGGCCAACATGGTGACACCCCATCTCTACTAAAAATACAAAAAATTAGCCAGGTGAGGTAGTGCACGCCTGTAGTCCCAGCTACTCTGGATGCTGAGACAGGAGAATCACTTGAACCCAGGAGGCAGATGTTGCAGGGAGCCCAGATTGTGCCACTGCACTCCAGCCTGGGTGACAAAGCAAGACTCCGTCTCAAAACAAACAAACAAAAAAACAACAAAAAAACCGCATAGCTACTCTTGGCATGTACAGGAGTATTTAAGAGTATTTATTTAGTGGGTAGTATGAAAAGGCAATCCTAGAGTGCCACAATTTTCATTTTCATTTTGGCCTCATTAAGCAATTTGAAATAAGAGCAACTCAACTAAATTCCTGCTTGCTGTTTCTTGCCCGTGGACCTTCCGCTAGGTCAGTATTGTCAGCACATAGCATTGCCGTTTTGGCCTGGGGACATAGTTTATGTAGATTTGAAGGGCTGAGTTTTTTCACATACCCTCTTTTGTTTTGCTATAACTAGTGTTTAATCTGGGAAGAAATCTGCTTAACTTTGTTGTCATGGCACATTTGACTAGGAGGTATTTTAGAATGTTATTTGGTCTCTTCAATATGCACACTGGACGGGTATGGTCGTTCGTGCCCTTCTTTGGTTCTAGTAGGAAATCCATTTTGGAGCAGTTGTATTTGACAATGGTCCAGAAAATATATTTTTTGGACTTTGTGTATTTTGGAAGTGAGATGGGCTTTGATTGCTCTATTTTAAGTGCTTACCCCAGTCTTCTGGCTTGGAGTTTATTTATATTTGTGGAAATAATATAGTGAACCCTAAAAAATTCTCCGTTGGCCACTTTGATAAAAAGGTAAATTGAAAACAGAAGATCTATTTCCAGCTGACTTACATTAATTTCCCTTTTAAAAGGAGTTGGGGAGGTTAAATACTGACACAAAAGGCAAGTAACATGACAATAACCATACATCTTTGAGATTATTAGCTCATATGTTATTGTAGTCCTGTAATTCAGTCTTGTAGATAGGCTGAAACTACGGGTCCGAAGCTAACACAGTTTATGGAAAGCTAAGACTATATTGGGAATATGAATGTACTTAGTAAAAGTTTTTATGGTAACTTTACAAGACTAGAAGGTATACACTGCATATCTTTTAAGGCTAAATATGTTCAAACTTGAGAAGTCAAAACTTGTAACAGGCTGGGTGCGGTGGCTCATGCCTGTAATCCCAGCACTTTGGGAGGCTGAGGCGGGTGGATCATGAGGTCAGTAGTTCGAGACCAGCCTGACCAACATGGTGAAACCCCGTCTCTCTAAAAATACAAAAATTAGCCGGGAGTGGCGGCGTGCACCTGTAATTGCACCTACTCAGGAGGCTGAGGCAGGAGAATTGCTTGAACCCAGGAGGTGGAAGTTGCAGTGAACTGAGATCGTGCCACTGCACCCCAGCCTGGGCTACAGAGCATGACTCTGTCTCAATAAATAAATAAATAAATAAATAATAAAATAAAATAAAACTTTGACAATTGCTTTTATATAGCCTAAACTCTACAGATCTGTAATTGAAGATGTAATTGAAGGAGTTCGGAATCTGTTTGCTGAAGAAGGTATAGAGGAACAAGTTTTAAAAGACTTGAAGCAGGTTTGTAGCCGATACAACTTTTTCTTCCTGTCTTTTGTTGTTTTTTTGGCATACAAAACTGATGCAGTTCTGATCTCTCAAATTATAGTTTAGTACTTACCCGTTCATTGTGCCATCAGGATGACAAGTTAGTTTTTAAGAAACTGAAAAAAAAAGAAGTATCATTATATATGTATATATTATTTTACAGCAAACTTTTTTTTTTTTTTTTTCTCCTCTGCAGCTCTGGGAAACCAAGGTTTTGCAGTCTAAAGCAACAGAAGACTTCTTCAGAAATAGCATCCAATCACCTCTGTTTACTCTTCAGTTGCCACACAGCTTGCACCAAACATTGCAATCGGCAACAGGTTGGATACCGTTAGTAAATGAGTACTGTTAGTATCTTCAGAACAAATTCTCATTTAGGGTTGTTTTTCAGTTAGACAGTAATGTTCTTAGGGTGAGAAGGCTTGGACACCTAAATCATTTCTATTAAATGAACACAGTATAAATCATTGCCGCATGTAATTATTGGTTAAAAACTCGGGTTATTCAAACTAGTTTTTATTTTAAATATTAAATTTTACAAAGATGATAAAGCCTTTCTTTAAAGGAAAGTCACACAGTTTGTTGCCTGTTGGAAACACCCATTGGTAATTTCAGATAATTTGATTGGGTCTAGTCAAGGATTACAAGTGGCAGAGGGAAAGATGAGAGCTCAAAAGTTTGTGTGTTCTCGTTCTCTTATTTTTTTTTTTTTTTTTTGTGTTATAGATCTGATGTATTGGGAGCAGAATGTAGAGTTCAGAATATGGAGATTATTCAGGCTACCTCACTGTTTTGGATATATAAAATGGTGGCTAGAAATTGATCATGTGCATTTATCTTTATTCTTGGACTTAGCAATCTAGACTTCTGCTTTTAAGGGAAATATTTGTCCACGTTATGCTTATCAATTTAAACTGGAAGGGGCTAGCTAATAAAAGATAAAACTTAGAGTTTTCTATCTTTGTATGCTTGATTCCTTTCTTTCTCCTCTGATTCTTATAATCTTTATGCTACTCGTGTGTATACATAAATGTATACTCACATACAAACAAGTTTTACTGGGTTTAGCTGAAATTCAACAGAGTAGTCTGCAAGAAGTGAGGGTAGATTTTGGGTTAGATTATCAATAATAAGTAGATAGTTCTTTGCATGCTTGGAAAAATTCACATGAACATTACATGGGCCAAGGTGAAGAGAACATTGTAAGGATGCTTGTACTTCTTCTATTACAAAGTGGGAGAATTTACATGTGGCAGCAGTTCTAACATATAAAACTGAATAAATTAACAATGAATGTTGAATTACCAAATACAAGTTTTATTGAATACTGCATTTATAAAGTATAATTATGCTCTGTAAGAATTAGTCTTGGCAGTTTTAATTGTTGACACATTGAAACATTTTTTATCAGTTGGGTTTTTGGCTATGCTTTAATTTTTAACTGCTATTTCATTGGGGCATCCCCTTCTCTGTTTAAATAACATTCCTTTGGACTTTTGTTTTCTTAATCACTGTTTTACTTATTACGGAATGCTAAATGTTTTTTTTAACTTATGGTTGGCATGAGGGTGTGGTAGATATGGAAGAGGAAAATACTTGACTGTCTTTTATCAAAAGAGGCCGAGGTGGATGGATCACCTGAGGTCAGGAGTTCTAGACCAGCCTGGCCAACATGGCGAAATCCTGTCTCTACTAAAAAAGAAAAACACAAAAATTAGCCAGGCGTGGTGGCTCATGCCTGTGATCCCACGTACTTGGGAGGCTGAGGCAGGAGAATCACTTGAA